TCTTTCCCTTATCTTCCCTGTTTCAATTAACCCTCCTTCCCTCCGTATTTCCATGTGTTATTAACTCCCTATGTTTGAGTAGCTAGAACGATAGGCTAAAATTCTGACTGAGTGAGCTACCACCTCATTATTCAGTCATGGTTAGGTGTTTTCATTAGGAGGGACCCATTTTGTCTTGACCAATCACCGTTGATTGACATATCTAGTCAACGCTTAGACTGCGTTAGCCAGCGCACAACACAACTTAAGTAAACTTACAAAGAATTGGAGTTGGGAGGCAAAACACAAGCGCATGATGATGAAAAGCTAATTTATATGTTGAATAACTGATAAGGCACAAGAAGGTGTCTCAAGGCAGAGGTGAAGATCTGAGTCAGTTGTTTTTCTGTAGCTTGATAATATAATGGACGTGCTCACTATAAACATGCACACTAAAGAATATGAGAAGACAGTTTAATTAAGTAAATATAAACGCTTGACACTATCAAGAATATATAGCTAATGTGTTGTTCATTCAACAGACAGTCTGACAGGCTGACAAGCCTGGCTGGTTAACATTCATCACTGACTAATAGAAAGAAGTAAACACGGAGCTAGAATAATCTTTTGGCTTAAGTGGCAGGTGAGCAATTTTCAGAAGCGAGTGGTTGTCAGCTTTTAGGTCTGGTATGATTTTTCTGTTTTTTGTTTGTTTTTACAAGGAACATAAATTTAACAAAATGTTTGTTGTGGTAACCTTGTTTGAATACACTGGTTGGCAAAATAGCAGGAATATCACTATGCTTTCCACCATATTGTAACTAGCTATCAAATGTTAGCCAGCCAGGATGGCCTTCAATATGTAGCCTGTATCTTTTAGCTTAATATAAAAAAAAAAACTCTGTCCAAGTTCAAAATGTCCTAAACTGTCTGATTTATCGGCTCAATGTCCATCTGGGCAAGCAGACATTCCTGACACCAACAGCAGACATATTTGAATTATGTAATCACATTTGGGATATAGTCTGTAATTTAAAGGTCTGGAACCAGGCTCAACAATGAGTGCAGCTTTGTGGAGAAAGATGCCAGAGCATCTCTCTCAGCTCCGGTGCTGTATCACACTGGAACACAGTCAATTATGCAGAGAGAAGACAACAGGCCTGTGTCTGACACAAGCGAGCTGAGGTCCACACATCAGGTGCAAAGACAAAAAAACTGCCATCCCCAAATACTTATGAATGTTCATCAAGTACAATCTGTAATCCCACCTCTTCTACTCAGCTGTTCTTACAAAACACACACACACACATAAACAAAAGGCCTGCAATCACACATCAATTAGCGGACACCATCATCCTCTCCTGCCTCGGACCTGTGTGTGCGTGTAAGCGAGTATGTTTTGAGCTTGTTACGTGCATGCATGTCTGCCTGTGAGCTGCGTATCTGAGGCTGTAAGAAGCTTGTAATCGACTTTCTAATGTCTGTCATTACACAGAGAAAAGCCTCTTGATTTCAGCTCACAGCACAGCCAAGCATGAGGACAGAAACACAGACACACACACACACACACACCCTGTCAAGTGGTGGGAGAGTAGGCTCCCTTTGTTCCTGACCATGGTGCATATATCCTTCCCTCACCAGTCCAGGACATCAAGCATGAATAGCACTTGAATCAAGGCAAAATTATGCGCAGATCTATGAGAAAAGAAATGGGTTATGCATTTTCTACCTATCATGCTTAAAAGCAGGCTAGCCATATTGGTAGCTGGCTGCAATTCTGACTTATCTCTTCAATTCAGCGTGAACACACATTTCGCCAGCCCACTCTGGAAATGTGAGTCTAATGATAGGGTGTATCAAGACAATATGTGCAGCTCAGATAACAAAAGGAGCTGGCTCCGCACGCTGCCCATCATTCTCCACAAGTAGGGATCATTCGCTGGGCTGCCAACAGCCAGTGCCAAGCAAGGTCACGTCAGTCAAAATGGGCCAGCAGCCATACGACAATGAGAGACTGTGGAGTCTGAAATGTATGCAGCAGTGGAAAAAAAACAACAGAAGATGCATGTAAGGAAGATCACTTCAATTTTAGATAATAATTAATGGGCTTTTTTCCATCTCGTCTTTGCTTTTTCGTTGCCAAGGTATACTAGTTAAACTGGAAATGATAATGTCACGGGAGAAAGGGAGTGGGGGTGCTTACAGAAATAGAGAGACAGAAGGAGAGATCTGCCAGGACAGCTGGCACACCAACTGATCAATTTGTCCTATGTGCCGACTGTGAGGCTCGATTAAATGGAACATGGCAGCGCATGTACACACACATGCACACATACAAACATATCAAACATATTTCTTCAAGGTGTAATAATATAGATGTGCAGGCGACAGAGACAGATGGTGCGCGTGAGAGACAGAAAGACAGTGGGCTACGTACTATGGAAAGAAAGGGCATTGAACGAGGACAGAGTGGACTCCACCAGCTTTACAGATAAACACATAGAGTGCATGTAACGTGTACTGATGAGACCACAGAAAGACACTGACACTGGGTCAACAGTACCATTGTCTCATGTACACTTGCTAAGAGCCTGTAGGTGGCAAGATAAACTTAAAAATAAGAGAAAAAACTAATCAGATAAGTGAAAACATAAGATATGCCAACAATTTTGGCATCTAATTGAAACAAAAAAAACTAAAAGCCCACGGAATCCACATTTCAATGAGCTCACAAATTACTTTAAAAGACTTTTGTCTTTGTGGGAGGTATCAATTTATACTTTGCCCTTCTTTTACTTTCCCTTCTCTTTCTTTTCTCTAACCTTACCCGTGCCCATTAATAAATCATGGTGCACTTAATACAATAAATGTGGGCAATGAATTGTTTCTTTGCCTCCCTGACAGCATGCATTAATTAATATTAATAACACTGAAAGAGGTTTGCCTTATACACTTAACCCTTACTGTTAAGCACACACACATTCAGTGATGAATAAACAAAATCACACTGAACCGAAAACTTTTTTTCTTGCCAAGGTTTACAAGGCATGAAAAAAAAAAGAGAGAAAGAAAGAGGTGATGGCACCAGGGAGTGATACAAGGGAGACGGGATATGATTCCAGCAGGTGCAAATCAATAATTCAAAGAGCTTTAATTCAGATCAGTGCCCTCTGAGTCCCTAGGCTGAATTTAATGTAAGTTATTTCAGCTTTAACATCCACAAAATGAATTCTAATTACCGTCTCACAGTTTTGAAGGCCTACACACTCACACACAATGTTGTGCACCATAGGCAGGTTGGAAAGAAATGACTGAAAGGTGGGTCTGAAATATTTTAAGTTGTGAAACTGTGGAATAATCAGGAGGTTATGGAAGCCAGATGAGTCTGAACAGGGACATTTAGAACTGAACCTGACTGAAACCAGCCCCCACTAAAAAAAAAAGCCAGTATTTATTTAAAGACTAATTTCAATCAAAATATTTTTGAATAGCTGCATCTTAGAGACGTGGGCCCTACATCAAAAAGATGTATTCAATACACTGCTTAGTTATGCTGCTATAGGCCCAGACAGCTGGGTCGTCCCATGCTCCCCTCCTCTCCAGCCAACTGGTTGAGGCAGATGGCCGCCCACCTAGAGCTCAGTTCTGTCGGAGATTTCTTCGGTTAAAGGGAGTTTTTCCTCTCCACTGTCACCAAATGCTTGATGCAGTAAGATTTGTTGGGCTTTTCTATATACTACTGTAAGGTCTACATCTTATGATTGTTGCTGTGAATTCGTATTATACAAATAAAATGATAAAATGTCATTTTTAATGACGTTTGCTTTCTTAGTCAAAATGCTACCTACCTAATGTTCTTCAACCCACAATAAATAAAAATTTTGATGTTGCTTTTTTCATAGCTGTTTTATGTAAAAGGTGCAGTTTGTAAAATATAGTAGGATTTATTAGCAGAA